GCGCCACTCGATAAACGAAGTCACCACACTGTGGAAGCACATTCTCGGGCAGATGAAGAGGTCCAACAAAATGTTAGCCTCGCGCAGGCGAATCCACTCAGCAAAAACTAGGCATGCCAAGGGACTCGACACAGGAATTTGAAATCGCCGACGCTGCTGTGCATTTGTGGCGGTGGTGATATCGTAGTCACCCGGATGATACGTGCATACAATGCATATGTCAGCTACGATCCAAAGATGCATGGCGCTCGCATGGTGATATCGCGCATGTACGACAAGTGGTAAGCGAGAATGTGCCAACCGAGCCATGCATTCGGATGACCATCGAGCCCATCAAGTTATGCGTTCACTCGGGTATTCACGAAGGTGGTATGTAGTGGAATTGGAGGTGATTGTAATATCGACAGCCATGGCCTGCTTGAACCATGGCCCTTTGGCTTAACGTTTACGACGACGCATGGTGTAAAGCGGACTAGCGAGTGGTGTGCTGATGACGCTTGGCCAAATGCCGCATTGTCAACGGCTCCCAGAGCGAGTGGACATCCAGGCAGGACGGACACGAAGGGTTGGAGCATTCCTCTGCCCAATGCAGGGTAACGCGCACAAGCGGAATTTCACGACGAACCTTCGATGAATCGTAGACGACGGTCGAATGCGTTGTTAGATGGGTTGGTGGCGCACGCTGGTCGCGTATGGAGACGAAATGACGCCACGCAGTCTGAAAAAATAACGACAAACTAGATGAAACCCACACGACGCACTCCACGTCGGCGAACATGTTGACGAGGTTCAATTGCTTGCGGTGTTGTCCCGGCGACTCGATGAAATCTTTGTGGCTGGTCCAAAGCGAATTACACATTGACACGCGCTTCAGTCGATCGATTTGAATGACGAAAAGAATCCCTCGAGTCTTGAAGCACTAGAAGCCTCCCGGTCTTCTGGGAGTTTGAATTTGTGTGATGGTTTCGCCAGCGGTCGCTAGAACGGCTTCCTCAACGGAAACCGGAATGCACGCGGCGAAGAAGACCTCGCGGACGGACAGATACAAGAAATTGGAGGAAATACAGGCTGCTTTCTACCACTCGATGGCGTTTTGGACTGGTTTCAATGGAAATCGAGATCAACTGGTGCATCGAGTCGTGCAACGACATGCCGACTCGACTGCCACTCTCCAGTCAAACGATCTTACGATTTGGTCAAGTCCAGGATCGTCCCGGCGCTGGTTTTTACAACAGAAATTCTTTCAAGAGTTTGAATGCATGGACCTGAATCACTACGCGAGCCTCATGTACCCTGATAGCAGCCACGAGCATGACCCTTGGATACGGAATAAAGACATACGTACTAGCAGTTTGACACAATTACCACACACAAGGCCTCGCCGGTCGACAGAGGCCATCCAGGAGAGTGCGGATATATCGCGGGGCTTGAGTATGGCACAGCTCTCCGCGGATCAACGCCAAGTATATGCTCCAGAACTCGATCTCAAGATGCTTGACCAAAATGGCACAATTCGTGCTCTGCACCTTGGTGAGGGCTGGGTTGTCATGAGCAGCTCGAATCAAAGTCGTACGTGCGACTAACTCAAGCTCGGTATGGCGCGATGGCCAGCGCAATGTCGTGCTTAGCCTCGAACAGCCAGCGACGCTTCGACGACATTGCTATGGCATTTTGTCCGATTATTCGCGTGTGGGCCCGTTTGGACAAGTGAAGCGATGTCGAAAAAATCAACTGGATGACTCGGATGGTCTTGTGCAAATTCATCGTCTGGTGCAGGCCACATTCGGCTTCTTTTGCCGAGCGACGCAGAGTGTTCCGTCGCATCCTGAGTTGCCTTGACTTCATGACGGACGTAACAATTTGGATGCGCCTTGCCGAGATCGTCGATTGTGCGCTTCGCACAGCGCAACTTGTCGACTCGAAGCGAGCTGATGCGATTCCACAGGCCTGGAGTGGCCCCAAGATCGGCGTCGCAGTTGGACTGTGTGGGGGCAGGACAGCACTAAAGTTGGAACCAGCATGCCGCGAGGGTCAAGGTAACAAACCCACCTGCGACGCGCCCGTGTCGTGTTTCGTCAGGCCTTCACGGGATGCCACCAACACGAGCGTTAGCATGCCACGATTGATTTTTGAGTGGGAAGGACTTGATTGAGTTGTAACCAAGCTTCACACGAACGGAGAGAGAGACAGCGCATCTGAAATGCACTCACCGCTGTACAGCGGAAGGCTTCTCTGCAGGCGGTGTCTTGGCGAGGAGTGAGCCGCAATTGTGGACGAAGAGGGAAGTCGTTCATTCACTTTCGTTGGGCAATGCGGGAGGTATGTCATCGGTCGTGCTGTTCCCTGGCGAGTTGGCTGGATGCCTCTGTGATTGAAGTACTTTTTCTAAGTCTTGCACCGAGAGCCCAGGAAAACTTTACACGAAACACTCGCCACCTCGTAGTCCGACCGGCGATTTCATTTCACCGCCATGTCGAATTCACGGGTTCGTATTTGGATTCAAAACACAATGGCATTGAATCTGGCAGAGTCACTGTGTGTTTAGATGGTCAGGACGTCGTAAATGGGCGTTTTCAAAGTTAAAGCACGCTGCTAGCATCTACGGGGCATGCGTCATGGGACCATCGCCGACACTCCCGTGAGCTGGACGCATGCGCAAACGGGACCTATCAGAGGGGTATGAGCGCTTGCTATTCGCATCAGGGGCACGCGAAAATTCGCAGCTGCTCGTGCCTGTGCGTTTCCGCCCTCGGTCACGGTAGCGATGACGGCCTGCAGCTCTTGGCCGCATAAATCACACGAAATCATCGCAGTCATCGTGCTGAACGGTGCACCAAAGCTAGGTCAAATCATCGGAAACCTCGACGACTATTTTACTGCACTATATGCGGCATGCACCAATCACCCCATGTGTCGACAAGACGGAGCACTTCATGCCGCCACCAAGGTCTGCAACAACGTAATCTCCACCTCTCAACTTCGCGGTGACGTGTTGTTGCCGTACACAAGGTTGCGATGCAGTGGATGAAGCTGTATTGCATCGACCTTTCGATGGCTCATTGAGATCGCATTCTCGTGTGGGGCATGTTCTGAACAGGCCACGCAATTCTGGGCGCGGCGTCGAGCCATCTATGTGTGCTTGCTCGTCCAAGCATCCGAGATTCAGTGGTGGAGGACGCGCCAATACTTTAGAACACACGGGCATTGGAAATGAATGGACTGGGTCGTGTTGACCATGCACGCCACGCACTCCGTACGTGACTGTATCGCCCGGATATCGCCACGCGAATGGAGAGCCCGACGACGGACATTTCGGGGGGGCATATTTTTTTGGGTGTGCATCGCCCGCCGTGGCGCAGGTGGAGTGCTCCAAGAAACGCGCGCCCTATCACATGCGACCCCGCTAACGAGTTCAAACAGTCGCTGAGCTTCAGGTGCTTGTCGCATGGATGCCCCACGTAGGCGACCGTACAAGACTCCCGGCCATCTCACATGACAGGATGCAGGTGAATTCCCTCCTCAACCATCCTCTCCCCCGCCGAATCGCGTGACTGCGATGCCATCGTCCAAGCCAATTCAAAATCACGATGCCTGCAGCGTAGCCACTGCAGCTGTTGTCAACTGAACCCCCCCCCAAGCGAGACGAGTGATGTATCCTAATTGGGACCAGGTACTGAGATTGCCCAAGCCACCAAGACCGCGTAGTGGGACCACTCAGACTGAGGGTGGGACGTCGGCACCGAATGCCATTCCCAATTTGGCCTCCAACACCCATCCCATGGACAATGCTCACCTGGATGTATCGCCAAAGACGGCAGATTTGGATATCACATCGCTATTCCACCCCATTCCGTTCGACGAGAGTGCTGAAGATCCGACCTTGTCGGCCTTGTCCTGGGCTGTGCTCCGGCAATGGCTCGACTCACTTGGTGATGTCGCCAACCCGACGATTGACGTCATTGGCGGTTCGACCACAACCAAGTCGGACTCGTTTGTCCGCTGCGGGAGCCACACTGACTCGGTGGCATGGCCATCTCAAGTCGACAGTCCATCCTGCACGGTCAGCATCTGCTCGTTGTCCAAGTGCTGTCGCAGCGCCCGAACGAACGGCCTCTGTAAGGAACATGGAGGCCTGTGGGAATGCCATGTCGATGGATGCACGAGGGAAGCTGTGTTCATCGACTACTGCGTCGACCATGGCGGCGGAAGGGGATGTAAAATCGTCGACTGCTTGAACGCTGCCCAGTCCCAAGGACTGTGCAAAGCCCACGGCGGCGGGGCGCGTTGCAAGTTTGACCTGTGCGAAAAGAGCAGCCAAGGTGGAGGGTTGTGCCGCGCCCACGGCGGCGGCAAACGATGCACACACGAAGGCTGCGGCAAAGGCGTTCAACGTGGCAACAAATGCACAAAGCACGGTGGGTATCGATCGTGCAACGTGGCAGGATGTACACGAGCCGACCGTGGGGGTAGACTCTGTGAGTTCCATCGAAAAGACCGATTGTGCACAGTTGAGGGCTGCAAGCACCTCAGCCACGCCCTCGGGATGTGCAAGCGACATATGCGCCAGCACCGCAACCAAGAAGCTGCCACTCAAGCCATCGCCACGTTATGGCAGTAGTGTCGAGACTTCAACGCCGCCCTGCTGCAGGGGCCTAACTTAGTCATGTCATGGACAATTTTTTGCTTCCCTGTGTCTCCGCGCAAAAATCGATCAGGGGGGCCATGACATTTTTTCCCCACGGGCAAACTTCACGCATTTCCTTGAATGGATCGAGAATGTCGCCACTTTACGCTGAAAGAGGGGTAGACAGTGATCTGTGACGCCGAAGTCCCATACTGTGGTTGCACCGACTTTCTCAACGTTTTGTTCACTGACAATTAACCTGGGCAAGTCGTGGAGTGCTTTGCCTGACCCATCGTGTCGACCACAGCAGCTCAAATTGAGGCGCCAGGGAAGCATTGTGCAGCCCTTTGTATATTCCAAAAAATCATATCGTTTTCAGTGGCAACCACCCGTCCATGTCGATATGCACTTCTGTCGAT